CCAAACATGCCATGTGAAGTGACACCCACCTTAAACAAACCCAGATGGGTCTCCAACCCCTTGGGAGAAGGAAACTTGTGTTCAATGTGGCAGCTACTCCTCATATATTATTAGCTTACTTCCTGTCATCCTATCAATAACCTTGAGATAACTGTTGTTGTCACCATTATTGAGAGGAAAACAATGAAGATACAAGCAGTTAGGTAATTTACCTGAAAAGCTGGGATTCAAATCCTGGACTAATTCTAAAGCTCTCGCTTTTTCCACTGCACCATGATGCCTCTTGGACATACTCAAAAAATATCCTGGAGTTGGGGGCAGTGGGAGGGAAGCTGCTCAGACACTAGGCATATAGCAGTCCTTCAGAACATGCTCTGGGGACCCAAGTAGCTAAAGGGAAAATTGAGTGTGCAGTCTGTGGGTTCTGATATAATAAAAATAAGCCAGTGATCCTTAAGCATCAGGACTCATAAGAATTACCGGGGAGTCTTATTTAAAACCCAGGTCACTGGACTTTACCACCAAAGAGTGTAGCTCTGGGCCGGGCCTAGGGAATGCGTTTTATCGACATTCCAGGCAGCCCTGATGCAGCTGGCCCCTGGAAGACATTTGGAGAAACAGCAAATAACTTTTTCCTATGCACGTGTGGTATCCTTTATAAACACATGCACTTTCATAATCTTGTAAGACTCTTGCTACCACCCGGCCGGTAGGCAGGACAAGACCTACGAGTCCCATTTCACACACAGGAGAATGGAGTCTATAAAGCAATGTGAGCGCATGAGAACGGAGCAGGTAGTGTAAGGCCACAGCCCGCACTCTTGCGTCCCTGCCTCCAAGTTGTCCCTTGTTCGAGCGTGCTGTCTTATCTCTGGGGAGTCATGGGAGGGCAGGCGGTGTCCTCATAGCCCACAGTCCCTGGTCCATGTGGCACCCTTTATGCGCTGGCCCAGCACCCCTGCATCCAGGTCCCTCCGTCCCAGGCAGGCAGTGAGTGTCTTGGTCGTTAATCACCTTTTCAAAAGTTTGTCTTATTTTCTTAATTTATGTAACAAAAATAGTGATTTCCATATTTTAAAAATAAGGACTGTTTTTAATGATATATGTCATTGTAGGAAATTTGGAAAAATAAAGTCCTTGCAGCCAACAGCCAAGGTCAACGTTTGATGGATTTCTTTTCTCTCTGCCTGCGTTCTGACATGCCCACCGTGTTTTCACTTAATGCGCTAAAGAATTCTGCATTTCAAGATTTAAAAATCAGAATTCTCCTTTAAAGCATCTCTCCTCTGCAGCAGGCTGCCTGCAAACCCCAGGGACCTCCGGGCCTGGAGGGTGGGCCTGGCCCATTAGGCTACCTGTCCCTGGGGAGGCAGAGGCCTGAGGATGAAGGGGAAGGGGCCCTGGGCACACCAGGTGTCCTGTCACTGGGCTGGTAATGGCGGCTCTGGTACCCACCTGGGGTCACATTTGTGTGGCCTGTAAGGTGAGTTGCCCCAGCTCTGGCCTCTGTGTCAACACGTTATGTACATTATTCATTTAATCCCCGCAGAATAGCATCACCCAGGCACAAACTGAGGTCCATCCTCCCTGATGTGACCATGACACGCCTTGCCCTTTGCCAGCCCGCCGCTGCGTCCTCCCGTCCTGACACAGTGTTGACACTTCTTGGCATGGGCTCTTTTGGCTCCTGGGTCCCTCTCTGGGACTCCAGGGGATGTCCCTGCCCACCTGGGAGGCCACCTGAGCCCTCCCTCTGTCCACCTGGGGCCCAGGGCATGTAGGCTTCTGCCCTCCCCTGACTTATTTCACAGTCACAGTTACAACAGGCTTCCAGGTAGATTTGGATTAAGAAATTAGGTGGGTTAATAAACTAAAATGTTCACAAGCCCTTGTAAATTTCTATTAAGTTTCCTCATCCAAAACTGGTCTCTAATAGTTTCTAATTTCTGTATAAATAATTAAAACTCTATTTTCAATTGTTGTGAAAAATTGTTTCTCTTAATGAGCTTTCTAGAGGAGCCAGCAATTTTATATCTTGTAAGAATGATTAACTGGCATCATTATCCCATATCCCTAAAATATAGCCCAGCAGCTTCCCAAAAGGCCATCTGTATTCCATTAACGCTCCCTGCTTTAGACACACAGGGTTACTTTATGCCACGGGCTCTCCTCTCATTTTATTATGACGGTGATGAAGATAGAAATAACCAGTTTAATTATCCCATTTCCAACAATGAAATAAATGTTCAACATGTCTTTGCCCTTAAAAAAGGAAGATGAAGAATGTTGTAGCGCAGTTCCTGGCAAGCACAGGCTGAGCAGCGTGGTCAGCAAGCTCCCTCCCAGGCTCTGCCCATGGCTGGAACACACCAGGGCTGCCACCCCGTCCCCCAAGAGCTGGCTCAGCTCCTCCCCCTCCAAACCACAGGGCTGCACTGGGGGAGGGGGTGGTTCTTAACCTGGACCCTGGACAGATATTCCATATTCATGGACTGGAAGACTTGACATAGGTAAAATGGCCATATTACCTAAAGCAATATATGGATTTAATGCAATCCCATTCAAAATTCCAATGGCATTTGTCAAAGAAATAGAACAAAAAAAATCAGATTTGTATGGAACCACAAAATAAATCCAGATAGCCATTCTTAAGAAAAAAAGAACAACGCCAGAGGTAGCGCACTCCCTGAGTTTATATTATGCTACAAAGCTACAGTAATCAAAACAGCATGGGACTGGCAGAAAAACAGACACAAACCAATCAAACAGAACAGAATTGAGAGCCCAGAAATAAACCCACGGGTATATGGGCAACTGATTTCCAACAAAGGAGGTAAAAACATACAATGAAGAAAAGAAAGCCTCTTCAATAAATGGTGTGAAAAAAATTGGAAAGTTACATGCAAAAAAAAAAAAAAATGAAACTAGGCTGCTACTGGACACCATACACAAAGATTAACTCAAAATAGATCAAAGACTTACATATAAGACCTGAAACAACAAAATAAATAGAAGAAAACATAGGTACTAAACTTATGGACATTGGCCTCAGAAAGGATTTTGTGAATTTGATCTCGAAGGCAAGGAAAGTAAAAGCAAAAATAAATGAATGGAACTACATGAAATTAGAGAGCTTCTGCACAGCAAAAGAAACCATCAACAAAAACAGTCAAGCAACCTAGTGGGAGAAGATATTTGCAAACAATACCTCCAATAAGGGGCTAATGTCCAAAATATAGAAACAATCATGCAATTTAACAACAAAATCAATCCAATTGAAAAATGGGCAGCCGACCTGAACAAACACTTTTCCCAAGAAGTTATACAACTGGCAAAGAGATACATGAAAAGATGCTCAGCTTCACTAGCTATAAGGGAGATGCTACTTAAAACCACAATGACATACCACCTCACACCTGTTAGAATGGCTATTATCAACAACACAAGAAATAACAAGTGTTGGAGAGGATGTGGCGGGAAAAGAACCCTCGTACACTACTGATGGAAATGTAAACTGGTACAGCTACTATGGTAAACAGTATAGAGATTCCTTACAGAATTAAGAATAGAGCTATCATATCACCCAGCTGGACATCTAGAAGTATAAGTGAAATTCCTCATTTTTAAAAAAAATGTTGGCAACTAATTTGACTTTTTAAAAACTGTAAGCCAAAAAGAACACCTCCGTGAGCTGGATGTGGCAAAAGGAGCTACTGGTGTGAAGCGCCTGCATTGAATTGTCCTGAACCTAGTCTGCATCTTTTGTCCTTGTCACCAGTACTGACCTTAGCCTGGCCAACTGGGCCACTGCCCCCAGTGGATCCCAGGCTTTAATTGGCCCTGCTGTGGTCCCACCTCTTCCTCGCAGGGCTAGGAGTCAAGGGCCAGTGGGGATGACCATCTAGAGTGCATTTCTCCTCCTATACCAGCGATTTTTCCATCTTTTTCATCTCATGGCACACATAAACTGATTACTCAAATTCTGGGCCACACCCCCCAAAACAGGTATAATTTTGACTCAGTCACACCGGGTGGCTATTGTTGTATTAGCTGTTGTCATTTTTTAATTTGACTGAGAGAAAAGAGGTCAGCGCCCCTGACTAAATAGTCAAGTTATGGCATGTTTTAAAAATTCTTGGGGCACACTGGTTGAAAATCACTGTTCGAGACCATGCTGCTGGTACATTGGCCTCGAAATCTCTGCCCAGGAAGCCGCAGCCTGCTTCCAGGGCCTCCTGGACCTCTGTCCTTCCACGGCAGCCTGCACAACCGGCACAACCTGGTGTGGACGTCTTTAAGGATGGCCAGGCGATGGCTGTTTGCGGGGTGGAGGCTGTATCCCAATGAATGTATTGGGGGGTCCCCCTTTGGTATGGGATGGAGTCCAGTGTGAACAGAGCGGGCAGGACTGTCAGCCGTGGTCCTGCATTTCTACTCATGCCCCTGGCAGGGCAGTTGTTAGGGGTGGGCCTGTCACTGGCTCACATTCACCTGGGCACTCTTAAACGCTTCCCATGCTTCATGTTATTTGAATCCAAGGATGCTTACAAGCAGTAGTCTCATTTTACAAATGAAGAAACCAGGGCACAGGGAGGTGAAATAAGTTGCCTACAGCTAATGAGTGGCACAGCCAGGATTTAAACCACACAAGCAGGTAGCAGACCCCACTTGAGCAAAGCCCAGTCTTTCACACTGTAGACACAGCTCTTGCTCCCCAGCCCCGCCCTGGGTGGCCAGCCTAGGTGGGGATTGGCGGGGCAGGGACCGTCCCCTCTTCTCTCCATTCTGCCTGCCTGGGCCTGGCCACCGCGGGGGGCGCGAGGACCGCTTGTTGGGTCTCAGACTGACAGCCTCCCAGAGCTCCAGCCCCCTGCCTGCCAGCGGGGCTGGTGGTGAAAGCGGCGCCTGGCAGCAGGGGATTTGGATTGGCCGGCGTCTCCCCCTCCTGTTCCACCGCCGCCGGGGGTTTGGCCGTGCCAGGGGACTTATCTTGATTCCTTGGGACAGCCCAGCTTCTTCCCGGCATGCCCTGCTCCCAGGAGCCGCCTGCAGGTCCCGCACCCAGACTTTGCCATCAGCAGGGGGACGGCCGCGGGAGCGCCTGGGAATGCATCCTGCCATCGCAGCCTGAGGTGGGTGGACCCCGTTGACCCGGAGCTGCGGGACAGGGGCCCCGAGGCGGGTCGCGCAGCCCAGTCCCTTGGGAGAGGGAGTGCTGGGCGGCAAGCTGGGTGTGGGGGTGTGGGGGCGTGGGGCGACGCCTTGGGGGAGGGAGCGCCGGCCACGCCACGAAGCCTTTGTTTCGGCCACAAGTTGGAGAAAGTTGGAGCTACTTGCTCGGGCGTCCGGCGCGGCGCGCGCCCAGCCGGTAGGAATCCCTCCTGAATCCGGAGTGTTTAGGGTGGGTGTCCTGCTTGTCCCGGCAGGGGGAAGGAGGGTAGGGTTAGGGTCTTTTTTATCCTTGTGGATTTAGAATGCAACGGGGGTGGGGGAGGGGGAGAGAGAGTAGAGAGAGAGACTGGGACCTAACCAATGTATACAAAGAGAAAAACTCATCCTGAAACACACAGAGGAGAATAGACAAAAGGAAACGCACACAAACACTCATACAGACAAATTATGGAGAAAGAGGGCAAAAACTCAGGGAGTTCATACACACAGAGAAATACGCAAACGCCCAAGGAGAGGAAACAAAGCGGGTGGTCTTGGAGGCCATGGGAAGGGGGAGGGGAAAGGAAATTCTGAGAAGCGGCAGAGACGGAGGGGAGAAGCCGGGGGAGTGGAGACGGAAAAGGGAAAATGGAGACAGAAGTGAGAGGAGGAAAGGAAAAGGGCTGGAGGAGGTAGTGCTTTAAAAGAGACAGTTAAACACATTTAGAGAAAATGAGGCAGACCCGAGGATTAGCCCCGCTGCTCCCAACATACCGAAGGGGAGATAGAGAGATGGCAGAAAGCCCAGCCTTCTCACCCCTGTGGGCAAGGGAGCTCCAGGTGGGAAACAGCTCCGTGAGGACTCTGAGAAAGGTGCCCTTGGCACTATGAGCCAGCCAAGTCTCCACCTGGTCCACCTGGCAAAGTCCTCCTCATCCTTCAAACCCAGCCCCAGCATCACCTGCACGGTGAAGAAGTCTTTCCCAGCCAAAGCCATGCAAGCACAGTTACTCTCTTTTCTGCGTATTTCTGCATGTGGCACAGGCACTTGGGGTCCGCTGTCTTATTTCTCTCCAACCTCCAGAATCCAGCCCAGTGCTCACTGCACAGTAGATGGTCAGCAAATACTTCTTGAAGGACAACTAGGACCATGTGGACACTTCAAGACATGGGACATAGAATTAAATCCAAATAGAGGAGTCACTGAGACGCACCCGTCAAAGCACCCTTTTTTGCAAGTGGAGGTTAGGGGAGGAGAGGGGAGGAGAGTTGCTTAAAGGGACACAAGCAGGAGGCCTGCAATGAAAGAACATTGTGAATACATCCTTCTCTGAGATGCCTTTGTTCCTCCAGCCTGTGAGGTTAGAATAGGTGTGGAAGAACCTTCTGATAAAAACAATCAACGGAGTACAAACCATTTAATTCCAGTCATTAAGTTTCCAACACTGACTAAGGCTGCTTCCTGACTAGGTGAACTTGGACAAATTTCTTAACACCCCTGAACCTCAGGTTTCTCAACAATAAGATGGGGATACCACATACCTGCCTCATAGGATCGTTAGAAGAGTTACCACCAAGAGCCTGGCACGGAGGAGACCCTCAAACACAGTCCCGCCCTTCTCCCTGGGAGGGGGTGCTCTTTCCTGCACTTGTGAAGGTGAAGGCCGCAGTGCTAGTGAAAACGTTTCCTTTTGTCTCAGGACAAAAGTCCATGTTGGTCCAACTGGGGAACAAACTCTTTTAATAAAAGAAAAGCAAATTTGGGGCAGGTCCTACAATGCATGTTGATTCTGTTTAGGTGTTCAAGTCTCTGCAGGTGACTTGGGGCAACCTAACTTCCTCTCCTAACCCCCGCCTCCCCCCAGCAGGTAAGACCCCACTGTGCCGCTCCATTCTGCAGCCTTTTTACCAGGTCTGCGCTGGGCTGTGTCTTTCAAGCTTCAGCTGGTGCAGGGGATGTGACCGGGACCAAGGGAGCCGCGAGCAGCATGGAGACCGTGGTCATTGTTGCCATAGGTGTGCTGGCCACCATCTTTCTGGCTTCGTTTGCAGCCTTGGTGGTGGTTTGCAGGCAGCGCTACTGCCGGCCTCGGGACCTGCTGCAGCTCTATGATTCCAAGTGAGTGCAGACAGGTGGGGGTGGAGTGGGGGTGGGGGAGTAGGGGGGGGTGGGGAGAGGAGGAGAGAGGGGCTTTGCCCTGAGGCTCCAAGGAGAGAAAAGGAAGTTTGGTGCTGGGCAACTGGCTCAGCTTTTTGTCTCTAAAATGCTACCTGAAGGCTCCCTTTCCCAATAAAGATTTTAGAATTTAACAATGTTCCTTAAGCCCTGGCTGGTGTGGCTTAGTTGGGTGGAATCTTGTCTCGGAATCCAAAAAGTCATGGGTTCAATTCCCAGTCAGGGAATATACCCAAGTTGCAGGTTCCATCACTATTCGGGTCAAGGACCACTGTACCCAGGGTTGGGACACTTATGAGAAAGCAACCAATTGACGTTTCCCTCCCCCACTCCTCTCTTCCTTTCCCTCTCTCTAAAGGCAATGAACAAATGTTCTCAGGTGAAGTTTTAAAAAGTAAATAAATGAATAAATAAATAAAAAGAATGTTCCTTAAACCTTCCAATATCCTGAGCTATGTGATTCTGTCACTGAACTAACGAGAAAGTGATTCAACATGTTCACCTAGCATAAACTTGTGGCCGTCTACCCAAAAATGGCCACTTCACTTAGCACTTGGACAAGCCAAACTCTTCCCAACCAAACTCATAGGAACAGAAATCTGATGCCCGAACTCCAGTCACACACTTAAGCAGCAGACACTTGGTGTTGTGAAATCCCAACGTAGGACTGTCCCTCTCTTCACTCAGATTTCTTCATGACGCACTTTACGTGAAATACTTTTTGTAAGCAAGGTTCTACTTTCAGCTGAGCGATGTTTTCATTGACAGATCCTTAAGGCGCTATGCCCAGTAACCCTTAGTTTCTCTTACTCTTCAACCTGAAACCTACCAGCATCTCTGTCAAGCAGTTGATTAGTTTTTATGCCCATTTTTATGCCCAGTAAAGCTCTGTTGTTGAAAAGAAAGCTCTGGTATAGCAGGTGGTGTTACTTCTCCAGTATTACTAGGAGGGGGTAGGGTTACATGGGTGGACCAAGGTGGGTCCCGAGAGTGACTCTGCAGACTAAATTGGGGGTGCGGGTAGGATGGGCATTAGGATCTTCGGCTTCTCAGGAAAAGGTAGGGCTGAAGGGAAAATAAGTTGCAAAAGGTTGTGACTTTGTCCTGAAGGAGGAGCCCTAACACATCGATGTGATGATTGTGGTTGCAGCCCTGCTCCTTTTCTTAGTGGCTCGTCTCATTCTCCGTCACCTTGTTGTTGTGTTTGTGCCCCTCTTGCCTTAGGATTCACTGTCTAGCCATGTGTCCTGCCTGTAACTGCAGTTCCACAGGGTTAGCTTTGGATCCAGGACAAGAGGGCCCTGCTTTAACATATTCACCGCCATCATCCTTTTTTGGGGGATATGTGGGCCTCCAGGAGGCATGGGCAGCAGTTGTCCCTCATGTAATTGCTTCCCTGGGCTCTTCCTTCCAGGCCCATCGTGGATCTCATTGGAGCCATGGAGACCCAGTCTGAGCCATCTGAATTGGAACTAGATGATGTCGTCATCACCAACCCCCACATTGAGGCCATTCTCGAAAATGAAGACTGGGTTGAAGATGCTTCGTAAGGCCTTGGGGGTGGCTTGCTTTCCTGGAGCCCTCTGGGTGTAGCAAATGGGGCTCCTCGTGCCCTTTTTTGGCTTCCTTTGAACACTTGCCGGGGCATCCAGAAGTATCTGCGGCTTTTCCTGCTCTCACAAAGGGGGAAATCACAATATGACATAACAGTGTTTGTCCTACACTCCCACCCTGCCGCCATTTTGTAGATCTGAACAGTGACGACATGGACATGTGGCAAAAGTTGTCATAAAGTCACCCTGATGTGCTTGGTTATCCTTGGGGTGCCAATTAATCTGACAGTCAGGCTCTAGGGATGAGGTCTTTGTCTTTAGTGTCTTCAGGGGTCTCTTCATCTGATGGGAGCATGATGGAATGGGTGCCTTGTGACTCAGGTCTTGCAAGATGAGCGTAAAAGGAACAGCATGCTGGGCAGAAGAAATGGTATCAGCAGCTCAGAGATTGACTTGATTGGTGGGGAATCGTGCTAATGAAGACTTGGATGGGGAAAAATGTTAAGGAGAGAAGGTGCTTCCTCATTTAACTCATGAGCTTGTGCATTTTAACAGGGAGGCACCCCTGCTCTCAGGGGGTGTCCAGGTGTGTCGGAGCTAGATGAGGAGTGGAGGTGGTGGCTGGGGGAAGGTGGACCTCCAAACATGAGCACTGACACATTCTTCTTGTCTCCTCAGGGGTCTCATGTCCCACTGCATTGCCATCTTGAAGGTAATACTCTTTGATTGCCCCAGGAGATAAAGAGGGTTGGTCACCAAGCACCCCTGTGCCCAGACTGTCCGAGTTGTAAGGGGCCTTAGGGTTGGTATGGAGCCCTTGCAGGAGGTCTTTCTGAACATGCCTGAAACTTGGAGTTTCTCCTGTTTACTCCACTCCTACATGGACGGTCTGTTATACATTAGAATTCCTGAAGCCCTTTCAAAGGCTTTATTTCACCTGGTCCTTGCAACCAAGTGACCTGTGGAAAAGACCACATGGGTGGTCACCAGCCACTTTTTCACCTACGGTGGTGACAGCTGTATGCCCAAGACTGTGTAGCTGCTGAGAAGAAACGGGGCTTCCCTCCTTCTCCCCGGGGACTTTCCTTCATTAACAGAGAGCTCATTCCTCTACAGCGACTTGGGCTCTGTATCTGGACTTCTCCTATTACTAGAAAGTCCTTCATTAGCCCTCTTTGGCTGTGACAGTAGTCAGCCAAAAGGATAGTCAGTGTTAAAAAATTCACACCATGAGTGCTTCGACTTGAAGACAGATTTTTTTTTCCATTTAATGCCTGCAGCCTCTAGGACTGAATGGAAAATTGCGCCCAATTTGCATTTTGGGTAATTTTTATAGCTTCAGCATTGGTTTTTCAATTCTTGCCAGAGACTTCTATCCTGTCTAATAGAATCATAGTAATATTGAAGTATTAATATTTGGCCAGTTGCAAATATTGTCGGTTTCTTCATTTCAGTAACCTGGGAAACCACACGTTTATCTCTGCCTAGTAACTATTCGAGATTTGTAAAAAGACAGCTTTATCTCTTCTTCATTGACTTTCATTATAATGTATTAAAAATTCTTTCATCCCACCTTCTCTGTCTCTCTTTGGGGACAAAGGATGACTAGCAGGAAATTGTTATCACAGAGTCCAAGCTTATTATTTAATTCCAAGAAGATTTTGGATATAGGTGTGGTTGTAGATAGATAAGTATAATGTCTAGAGCAGTAATGGCATATGACATCTCTCTTCCCCTGGCCAAGATGTGTCCTGGCACTGGGTTTTGTCCCCTGCCCTTGCCTGTGAGAGGAGGAAGATAGTGACACCTGGGGTTGGGGATGAGTCAGCCAGAAGGTGTCTTATTGAGTTGGAATCAATGGTCCATCTTGGGACCTCAAATCAAAGGAGAGCTTTCCGCTTCCTATCGAGATTCCAAGGCCCTTTGTTTTGGCCGCCTGCCCTTGAGTCCCTGTGGGGAGGGCTCCTGGGCGCTCTCCTGGGTGGGCTCTTGGGCTTCTTTGTGCCTCCTCTTTTCCAGCCCCAGGTATAAGGGAGTGATGGGACTCCTTTGCCAGGGACAGTGGCACATCCAGGTTCTAACATCTGGGAGGGCAAATGAGTGAACAAAGCTCTGGGGGTGGCTGGCAGGGCTGGTGGATGATGAGAAAGGGACGTGGCATGACTATGCCTCTTTCCTGCCTTTTTCCAAGGCCCTTTCCTCATCAACTAGACAAACATGCTAATATGTTACCTTAGAAAATTGTTGGGCTACGTGGCACTTTTGGAGGCTGTGCTTAAAGAGCGTAGTTGTCATTTTTCCAGCCAGGTTTCTGAGGGCGGCCCGTGGGGATGGAAGGCGGGACCAGGAAGTGGAGGCATGGAAAGAGAAAGCAGGTTTTTCCCCTGAACGAGATGGTGAAATTAGAGAACATGATTTTTCTTAGGCAGATTATTTCAGTTTAGACTTCTCTAAGCCAAAACCCTGACCCTGATCTGAGGTTTCTACCCCACCCTCCTCACCCTGCTCTGTTCTCAGTGTTTGCCTCTCCCACCTCACTTCTGTGTATTTTGCACTTCGATTTGCCCATTTGGTTAGGGGGCCCAGCTGTGGGTTCAGACCCAAGATGGGGGTCATATTTATCTTTGTGGGGGTGGCAGAAGCCTTTCAGGAGCTAACTTACCCCCACATCACGTCTTTTCTCCTCGTTGTCTTAGATCTGTCACACTTTGACAGAAAAACTTGTTGCCATGACGATGGGCTCAGGGGCCAAGATGAAGAATTCAGCCAGTGTCAGTGACATCATCGTGGTGGCCAAGCGGATCAGCCCCAGGTGAGCAGGCAGGGCCTTAAGTCCCCACACGTCATGGGTAGGGGGACTGTAAGCTGAGGTGGCTTCAGGGCCTGGCTCTCCCAGGAACCCACACAGGCACCTTCAGTTCTTTATGTCCTAGTCACTCACAGAGCATCCAGGAGGGTTCAGGTGTTGGGAGGCTTTCAAGCTGAGATGTTCTCACACAGCTGCCCACCTCCAGAAGGCTTTTTGGGAAACTGCAGCATCTGACCAGTGCTGACTCTTCTTCTCCGCAGGTCCCGCTGTGGTTGGCCCCCCTTTCTCAGGCCTTACCAGCTGGGGCTGCTTTCCTCCCCGTTGCCACTCCTTTCTGCCGGGCTCTGGGCCAGAAAGCACATTTCCCACAGGGGCCCACACCCCCAACTGCAATGACCTCCTGGCCATGTCCCATGTCCTGTCCCCCACCCATACCCGTGCTGGAGACGAATTTGGGGGTGGCTGTCATCCACTGCCTCATCCATGGCCCGGCCCGCAGCCTCCAGGACTGGGTGGGAGGTGAAGCCATACATCACTCAGATCTCCCAAATTCCAGGCATCAGCGAAATCCCTTGTGGGAGGCAACCAGCAGATTGCAGTCAAGAGCTACACCCCCTCCTGCGGGCTCAATTTGGTGAAGAAAAATAAAGCCCCTTTCTTAGAGGGCAGGGCTGTGCTAAGTTTGTGCTGCCATCTGGTGGCTGGTATGTGGATATTCTTGAGTGGGGTGTTGTCTCTGTCCAGGATGGGTTTTTTGGGGTTTGGTTTTTTTTTTGTTTTTTTTACATCCTCACCTGTGGACATGCTTATTGATTTTGAGGGGGGCGGGGGAGAAACACTGACGTGAGAGAGAAACATCAATGGTTGCCTCTCATATACACGCCTACCAGGGACCGAGACTGCTAGCTAGGCGTGTGCCCTTAACCAAGAATCAAACCTGTGACCTTCCAGTTCACAGGAGGATGCACTAGCTAACAGCCACATCAACCAGGGCCAGGATGATTTCTCAATCAGCCACATGGCCTTGTCACTGGGAAGGTGCCTCCACATTCCTCGTGGCAATGGTGGTACCCCCTGAGTTGCAGGGTCCCTCGCTTTCCTGCTTGCCTTGGTCTTGGGTGAATCACAAGGAACCAGCCCTCTGGGGGAATATGAAACAGTTGGTGCTCTTGACCTCTGTCCAGGGCGTTCAGTATATTGAAAAAGTGGGAAGGACTGAGCCCAGTATAGTTCTTGGCTTTTAGTGGAGCTCTTCCCAGGTAGGGGAGGTTACATGACTTATATCACAGTAGGTTGGCCCCTGGCCTGAAAGACCCTCCACCCTAGGCTTTGGGCAAGCACTGTCTTCCAGCCACTCATTATTGGTGGAGACTCTGCATTGGTCATTCCTGCTGGACCTTCATCATGCTTCCTGTCACTCCTAGGGCCAGACAAATTCACGTGATACCAGGGAGTAAGGCAGCATTGCCAGGAGGGGTTAGAGGAGGAAAGACACTGAGATTTCTGAGGACGAGTGAAGTCCTGGGTGGTCAGATTAGCAGTGGAGCTAGAGTGTGGGGGTGGGCCTGACATGGTGCTCATTGGTCCATCCTGCAGAGCACCTCAGGCTACTTCCAGAATGTTACCTACTGTAAATCAGTCAGCATCCTTGCTTTGGCTTCTTTCTCCTTCTGGATGATTCTGTCCCATTGATCTTCTTGCTCCATTTATTCCACATGGTGTGTTGGTAGCATGTTAGTTTCAAGGACAGTGGCTTCAGCTCCGGACACTGGAGAAAGGGGACGGCTAAGCAGAGGCCACGAGTGACCACGTCTCTGCATTTCTATTTGTTCTCACCAGCCCCTCAGCCCTGAGACAAGAACGTTTAGAAATAAAATAGTACATTATAATTTTTTCTTCCTAATTATCAGGTGGTCCAAAGACAAAAAGTTTGAGTGAGACTTTGTACCATGCAAAACAGAATGAATAGTTTGTTTTCTGAACTAGATTTTTAAAAAATTAACCACCAACTCTACCATCTGTTAATAGAAATACAGTGGAGCAGTTTGAGCTGAAATTAATTTGTAGGTATATATTTTTAGTGTTCGGTATAAACTTTAACCATTTAAAAAAATTATACACATAATAAATACCTGTAGTAAAAAGAAAAACATTGCTGAAATAGATTATCTGGAAAATGAGGTATCCTCTAATTCTGCCTCCTCCCAATTTGCGGAGCTGACTGCTGTCGAATAGCGAGCGTTTCTCCAGACTTTTATTCTCTGCATTTCATAGCTTTTGTTTATTTATTTTTGTGCAAATGGATTGATCAAACTTGATATATTGCTTGGCAGTTTGTCCTTTCAATTAAGAGCATATCCTGAACATTATCCTGGGTGTTTGAACATGTACTTTTTCAACCATAGGAACTAAAACCAAATCAGCAAACAAAATATTCTCTAAACTGAACCTGAAGTCTTCCTAAGTCTTTGTCAGAGAAAGAACCATTAGAGAGAAGAGCTGGGCTAAAGAAAGGTAGAAAGGAAGGAGGGATAAAGGAGATACGCAGAGTGAAATACTGAATACCCTTTGCCTCCCTCAGAGTGGATGATGTTGTGAAGTCGATGTTCCCTCCACTGGACCCGAAGCTCCTGGATGCACGGTGAGTGGTGGTTTTCTCCATGCTGCGGCCTCACCGGTTGTTTGGGTGGTTGAGGAGAAGGCTGTTCTGCTGGATTCCTGAGCTGTCCTAGGCCTTGGGTGCCATTCAGTGCAGTGTGAATGTCCGGCCAGCCAGTGAGCCCAGCCTGGCTCGGGGGTAGAGGCCACTTTTCATCCTGAAACCCTGGAGATGGAAGAGCCAGTTTAGATCTTCAAATTTTATGATTACACGTCCGGCCCCACTGAATCCTGTCAGCACTTCCCCTCCCTTCCATGTCCCCATCGCGCGCTCTCTGCTCTGTGGACCCTGGAAGAAAACACGCCTGAGCTGTGAGTGCCGCCCAAGGGGTCAGCGGGGCACGTGGTGAGCAGGGCGATGAGAACGGAATACCCAGGAACCCCTCGCCTGTGATCCTCCCCGATACACAGAACATACTTAGCATCTGAAATGCTGTCTTTCTGTACCAGATGTAAGCCTATTTTAGAGACAGATTCTCTGTCTCTCAGATTTCTGTGACTGTTTCATAGACCTGTGGTGTAACGCCTGCCAGCTGGGCAGTGGGTCCCTGTGCGGCAGCTGTGTCTGTGGGCTGTGCTCTGTAATACATTCCCAAGGGCATTCTGCACACTCACTGTGTAAAAGATATTCTGTAGTGAATCTTTCAATACAGGTAAAAAAAATACTCCCCCTCAATTGGGTTTTCTTTAATTTTTTTTTTTCCTTTCGAGTAGGGTAAACCAGCCCTAGGCCTCATTGATTCAGAATGAATAAGTGGGGTTAGGTATAGCCCATCTTTCAGTGGGTAGTTGTTGAGGTTGTGCTTATCCAATTGACTAGATACAAATTGTCCCATAAAGCCCTCTTCTGGAAGCTGTAAACAGCTATGCAGCAGAAAGCGGGTGCCACAGACTTAAATAAGCTGATGAGACACGGCATATTAATTTCTCCCAGTAGAGCTTTAGTATGCACGCTGTAGGCTCTGAGAAGGGGTTTAGTTCACCTTATTTAAACTCACCATTCCCAAATTCGTTTGAGCATGGGACCATCTTTGAAGTACATACTCAACAACCTCCTGGGGAAAGGACTTCAGTTTGGGGAACAGATTTTAGACCATCTGGGCTTTGGTACAAAGTCCCTTCTTTCCTAGGGAACCTGATTCTGCTGGCTTTCTTCTAGGACAACTGCCCTGCTCCTGTCTGTCAGTCATCTGGTGCTGGTGACCAGGAATGCCTGCCACCTGACCGGGGGCCTGGACTGGATCGACCAGTCTCTGTCAGCTGCGGAGGAGCACTTGGAAGTCCTTCGAGAAGCGGCCCTGGCTTCTGAGCCAGATAAGGGCCTCCCGGGCCCCGAAGGCTTCCTGCAGGAGCAGTCGGCCATTTAGAGCCTGCTGGCCAGCAGCTGACCACAAGGGCCAGCCTGCCGCCGTCTGTGGGTGGCGCAGCTGGGCCTCCTCCTTTCTGTATTTAGTTGCTCTACACGGCTTGGGAGCGCACTGTGCGGAGCAGAGCGGGAGAGCCTGTGAGTGGAGGCCTCTGCTGCAGTTGCGATGCTGGCTGGTGAGTGGCAGTGTAACACCACAGTTAGGGGAGACGTCACCCTCTGTGCGCCAGACCTTTGAGGCCTGATGGACTCTAATCTTCGTTTGGCTCACCGAGTGCTTTCAGGAAAGTGGAGCCACCGTCTAAGAATCGGGAGGTTTCACATGACAATCAGCCTGTCTGGCTTTCTGGAACAATCAGAAGGTGAGGCAACTCTGATCCGCACTTTCAAAAGAGGACAATCAATTGGAACTAAGTAGGAGTCACCTCCTCTAACAAGGCTTGTACTCTCTCACCTGGCCCGTTTCATGTATTCGTGTTATCTGCCTGGTCCCTGAGGCATCGGAGCCCCTCACAGGTGTGGGTTTGAAGGTGCGCACTGCAGTTGATTATTCCCTTTTCATCATTATGCCTGCATTTTACCTGCTGCCTCTAGGTGGATAGTAAATGTATACTTAGGTTTCCCTCAAGCGTGTGGTTACTGAGTCAAATTCAGATGCGTGTGGGACACATTTGTCTGAGAACTGAGGGTGGAAGGAGAGGGCCTGGGAATCCTCACAGTGCATGTGGCTCAAAGTGAAAAATTTAAAAGATTCCTGAGTTCAGGAAGAGTGGAAGATACCACCGTAAAGTCGTTTCCACATCAGCAATAACATCCATGAATGATGTGTTCCCACATTCTTTAGACATCAGTTTGTTCTATGAATATTGAAAGATGAGGGGCATTTTTATGACTTGAGACCTATTGTGAGACCCAGAGTCACAACTGCATAACGTAGACACACATCCATGTTGCATAATTTCCATCATCCATGTAGGAGCATGGTAACTACTACTTTGCCTCCTCCCAGGTTCTCAGAGCCAGTCTTGCTCTTGGGGGAGGGCCCTGGCTTGGGGGCTGCCTTGGTTTCTCTCTGATGCTGGCCATCCTGTTTGGAGCCCCATATCAATTCTCATTTTATTTCCTCTACCCTAGCTCAGGTCAGCAAATCCCTCAGCCTGTTTCTGGAGAACCAGGAACCCATATTCCCAAGTCCAAGAACTGGGCCTGCCTTGCCTTTGAGAGGTGTCATTGGGCACATTTCTTTCTCTCCTGGGAAGCAGGATGCTTCTAACCGGCACAGTGTGCCCCAATTTCCTCCTGCGGAGGTAGAGTCCGAAGAGGGGAGCTGGAGCTCCTCTCTCATAGACTGGAAGGTGGATTCTTGATCACAGGGGACACCCTATTGGATTATTGACTCCCACCAGCTCTGCATACATGTTAGGTAGTTAACTTTCCTGTCCTGCTGGTAAGCCATGAGTGGGAAATGTCAAGACGACTTTGACTTTTCTATTTATGGCTTCCATAGTTAGATATCCCTAGTCCTCCTATTTTTGTCTTTTCCTCCCTTTCAAAACCTGCTTTCATAACCAGACTGGAAACTCATTCTAGTCAGGGTTATAATGGCTGCCACAGGTATAAGTGTCCACCTAACCTGGACCAGAGCCCTAAGCGACAGAGAAGCAGCCCTGAATTGGTCTCTCAGATGCCATCCACCAGGTGTGGGGGTGGAGCTGGGGGAGTTTCCCCTGAAGTGATCCCCACTGTCCCGTTCTCTGAGTCCTGGCGAGTACTGGCACCTGATTCGTGAAGCCCTTTTAGTTACGAGGAGAGGTTGCTGAAGACCATGGAAGTGTCTGCTAGATGGCAGGACCTCTGGTTCCACTGCTGCGTAGTTTTTCTTTCATCTGTAGTACAGGGCCAGTTAGAAGTCTGGGTGAGGATGGTGTTGGTGGTGAATGGTTGAGGTGGAAGGCCCATCTTTGGGTAGGAGGCAGTTCCACGCCTCTAGGCCCTTTGGGAGTTGCCTGAAGTTACCTCCTCCCTCAGGAGGGGTTGGCGAGCACCTGGGATCTAAGCTAGGACTGGCTTATCCCAAGTCCCTAGTTCACTAGAGTCTATGTGCATGGAGGTCGATCTTTTTTGCCATAACCCCCACCCGCTCCTACCCTGGGGTATGAGAATCAGACTCAAATTCTGAATGAAGGAGGAATTAGGGATGGGAATTGGGTATGAGAAGAGTAAAAGCCTGACATCAGGCAGAATTAAGTTCAAATTTGGGCTCAGTCATTTTCTGTGTGAGTTTGAACAGCTACTTAACCTCTCTGGTCCTTAGCTCTCACATGGAAAATCAAGGCTACTGCCTCATTGGGTTGGTATGTGAATCAAATGAAATGGTATATGTGAAATGCTCAATTTTGTGCCTGGTACTGATTAACCACCGTTAACCCTTCTTTCCCCAAGCCCTGCCCTCCCCACGCCCAGCCCAGTGCCCTGACGCAGCTGACCCAGATGGTACCGCCTCAGTTACCATGCCTCTGTCCAAGCAGAGGCTTCTGTTCATGCGTTTTGCAACTGAGTAGCCAAAAATCTGAAATTGCCGCAGTAGGGGGAGTGGGCCAGCGTGTCCCTGCCCCACCCCAAGTAGTTCAGGACAGAGACAATCAAAGCTCTGAGCCTCTTATCAGGGTTCCCAGGGTTGATTGCTCAAGTTTGCATTCCTCCAGAGCCTGCGGGGGCGCCTCCTCCAGCTTGTGAAATCTCCCAGACGGAACACGTGTTCCGGCCTTCAGCTGACCCTGGTCTTACCCTGACCTGCCTCATTCCAGGAGCTCCTCTTCAGAGACTCTGGGGGCCTACAGGAGTCTGATCTTTAGAAAATGACTTACATTTCAAAGCCCCTGACTTATTTTATGGTCCTGAACATTTTAGGAAGGCGCCAGATGAAGAATTCCCATCTATATCCCTTCCCCCCCCCGCCATCCTTTTCTCCCTCTCTTCTCAACTCCTTCTCCCTCCACCTCTTCCTCCCACAAACATGAACTGTTTGCTTACTCTGAGGAAAGTGTTGTGCTGGGTGCTGGGGATATAGAAGAAGAGGGGCAAACCCTGTCCTTAAGAAGCAAAAGAGACAAATGAGCAGCTGATTGAACCACAGCTGTGGTCAGCGTAGGGCAGGAAGGATGCATAGCAGGGGGCTAGGGGGCACAGGGCGGGAGGTGGTGTCGAGATAGCCAGGGAAGACAGCTAGAAGGAGCTGATGCTGGAGGTGAGGCTTGACCGAGGCTCAGAGAGGCGTGTTCTGGGCAGATCAGACAAGGTGGGAAAGGTCCAGGGCCAAGAGAGCATGGCTCCTTTGAGAGATGCAGGTGGCTGGGGAGGGCTGGAGTGTGGGATGTAAAGGTTGGGCAGGTTGGCAGGGCATCAGATCACAGAGGATCTTACAGGTCATACTCAGGAGTTGATGCTTTATCCTGAGCATAATGGAGGCTGTAGAAATGCTTTAACCAGGGGAGTGACTTGGTTAGAATTGTGATTTTGAAAAAGATTCATTTATTTCATACCTCTAATGTTAGGCTCTGGGATCCATACAGTTATCCGATGCTACGGAGTGCTTTTCTTCCCTGAGCCTGAGAGGCTCATGACGCAATAATAGTATAAAGTCACGACTGGAACTGAGGGGCGGGAGGAAGAGAGGAGCTAGGCATCAGAAGGGAAAGTGCCGGGGTGAAATCCTGCGGTTGTGCTGGGTCTGCCTCTGGGAGCTAAATGTCTCAGTATCAGAAATGCCGACGAACAGGGCTTTGAGGATCTGAAGCACAACTGGGCCCTTTCTGTTTCACTCCATCTGTGTTTTTGTTGTCCCCATTTCACAGATAAGGAAACCAAAGCCTAGAGAGATCAGTGACTTTTCTGGAGTCAGTAAGAATCGGAACAGGCAATGCAGCGCCCCAGCTTGTGCTCGTCACCGCCAGTCCTGCCTGCCTTGGGGCGCTGTGAGGGGAAACCTACAGTGCGGGGCAGGGAAGGACGGGCCGGAGAGACATTCCATTCCTTCTAGTTCTAGTATTTTTCATTTTTTAAAAATGGTAGTCGTGACCAATACATTAGTTTCATGGCCAATAGTCGGTTACAACCCATGAGGTGATAGAACTCAGGCACTGAAATGAGGACTGGGGCATGTTCCATTTTAAGTAAAATGTGCATTTACCAGAATAGTGGCAAAAATATATGGTGCAAAATGGAATAATTAATTTATTCCGTGTGATTGATTAGTTCGAGTCATCTGTGGAGCATTCACACTAGATTAACCCTGGGGTACATTGGAATGAAGGAAAACATAATGCCCCTCTGGAGGCACATATAATCTAAGGTGGCAAGTAACCCAGAAAGAGTCATCTGTGATATAATGCAGCAAGTACTAAGTGAGAGAATGTGTGTCTAATGAGAGCACAGAGCAAGGGCACCAAACCCAGCTCAGGAGAGGTTCCGGAAAGTGATGTGTCAGAACTGTCAAGGTGGCATAGGTGTTAGGTGGGAGAAGGTGGAGGTGGAGGACAGAGGATGCAAGAAGGGCAACTCAGCAGTGCGCTGTTCCATGCTGTGCTCAGGGAGTTATCTCTGCTCGTGTCAGAGGTAATTCCCTGAGCACAGGTGCTCTGGGAGGGGCATGGAAGGGAGAGAAAGAGGACTAGACCCTGGACTTTCCCTGCGGGTGGTAGGGAGCTACTAAAAGTCGGAAAAGCTCTTACTATTTTTTGGAAAACTATTATAATATCGATACCCTCACCAGTCTTTATAATGTTATTCTGATTTGATAGGTGAACAGTGATTTGGCATTGTGTTAATTTGCATTAATTAACTGGTGACCACTGGTGATGTTAAACACCTTTCATGTGTTTATTACCTATATGCATTTATTCATATCCTTTGCTCGTTTTTTTCTACTGGGACCGTAATATTTTTCTTATCGATTCATACAAGCTCTTTATATGTTTAGGATAACAACCCTTTGTCATATATGTTGCATATATTTTCCCAGCCTTGTCATTTGCTTTTTAGTATTGTTTAGAATGGTTCTGACATCTAGAAATTTTAATTTTGGTGTAGTAAAATGTATTGATTTTCTTTCTCTCAGTGATTTATTCCATTGCTTTTTTGCTTAGAAAAATCTTTCCTCATCCAGAGATCAAATAAATATCATTGAAATGTTTGAAGCAGCAGAATGCCATGGGTGGATGATTAATAATAATATTCACAGATTAGATGTAGTGGCAGGAAAAAAAAAACCCCAAGCAACTGGAGTAAAAGAAATCAAACTTTCCTTTATCTATCCCAAACTCAGCCCAGAGATAGGGGTGGAAATAGTTAGGGATCAAAGAGGTGGATGAGGGAGACAAGGAGAGGTGGGGAGACTCTTGAAGGACTAAGAGGAGGTGGTCAAGTAGACAGAATGGGTGGGAATGAGCAGAGGGGAAGCTACCTGTCTCAAGA